TATATGGTTAAGTTAAACGCACTATGTCAGTGTTTGTGTCAAAACTAGTTTTATTGTAAAACAGTAACACAGCTTTTTGAAAATCACTTTATTTTGCCAATTCAAATTGTCTGATGATTATTAGATTTGAGGTGCGTCATTGCGAAGTGGCCAGCAGGCTGGAAGTTTCCAGTCTTCTAAAATGTTCCTATAGCCTTATGCAAACATTTAATTCAAGCAAAACCAAACAAACATACCCCATCACCAGTCTTCCGTAAAAACATGCTACAATGTAAATATCCCAATTATGTTTCACAGCGCAGCCTACTCTATCAGAATTTCCCACTGTCTGTAATCAACAATCCTTCTTATTAGTTGTATGCAGAACACTGAAACAGTTTTAATTTGATTCCTAAAAATCCCACCTTAACGTAAAGATTAGCCAATTTGCATTCTTGATCGACAATCGTGCTAGTAAAAAAGTACAAGATAGCCTGAAATAAGGACCAGTCAATTATACGAATTCATAAACAAACTTTTACATAGGAAAAGGATACCTGACGTAACGCCTGCGCATTGTCACTAGATTTGTCTATTGTTAAAAGCTTTCCATTTTCTTGCACATCGGAATTGTTTCCGGGTTTGTAATTCTCAACAGCTTTCACTGCCAACTCCTCAAGCTCACAATCGTACCTCTCAAAATTTTGCAATCAATGCATGTGGTCTGAGCTGATTTCTTACCATCGGTTTAGATGTAGGCCGATCGACGTCAAAGCTCGCCCTAAACAATTTTTTTAATAGTTAAAGTAAAGCGGCTCGCATTCTCATTGAATAGGCAGCTAAGTTTGTCACAATTGAATGCAATAGGCTTCCTCAAAGAAGATTAATGAGGCAATGAGATTGCTAGTCTCTTTTAATCGTAGTTTTTGGGAAAGAATTTAGTCTAGCTAATTAAAATTAAATGCGAGTACAGCTTAACTCTAAGAAATTAACCACAAATCAATAAATTTTATTGGGGAAACTTAATTATAAGTCTGATTACCTGAAATCTTCATGGATGTCGATGACCCTTCCTCTCATTAGCTGATCCATACACTCATCAGTTAAGTTACACCCTATGAACTTTGTATTATTTGCAGAACAAAGACATGGAAACCAACTTACTCTGCGGAAGTTCACGGTATCTGAGTGGTATGCAGTCGTCTTCCGCCATAACGGCTAGAACCTTTAAAAACCTTTCCTTGGTCAATTATAAAAGAATGTTAGTTTCCCATCGTTGCAAAATACCGCCACATTTACCAGTTTTGCCTACAATTCTGGCCAAAACATGGGCAGTGTCTTAAAAAGTCGACTGAAATTCAATATAACG